ATTCTACTAAAAGTTTTACCAAATGTCTCACATGGGTGTGGGACCCACATGAGACCCACATGTGTAGGTCCCACACCCATGTGAGACATTTGGTAAAATTTTTAGTAGAATATTTGGAGTCTCTAGCATTACTCTAAAAATGTTATAACTAGTGTTGGTATACTAATTTGTACATTAATTGGTGCATGTAGCACTACTGATAAGTTATTGTTAAGATGAAAATTTGAAAAAAGAAATATTATGAATTCCCAATAATGTTTTAAATTTTTTACCAAACTTGTCACATGTATAGGACCCACACAAGTCCACATATGTGTGGATCCCACATCTATATAAAAAGTTTGATAAATTATTTGAGATTCCTAATATGCCTGTTTGAAGAAAAAAAAATCAAAACCCATATAATAGTAATTCCCAAAAAAGCCCTTAACTTTATCCATAAATGCTCCATTTTCCAACCCCTCCTCTCCGCTTCTTAAAACCAGACCCCCACTCCTCATTCCATTCCCAGCTTAGCCAGTCACATACGATAGGCGCATAGAGAGAGAGAGAAGATGTCGAAAGAAGTGAGCGAAGAAGGACAAACACAGCATGGAAAGGACTACGTGGATCCACCACCAGCACCGCTGATGGACATGGCGGAGCTGAAGCTGTGGTCATTCTACAGAGCAGTGATCGCAGAGTTCATAGCCACACTCCTCTTCCTCTACGTCACTGTCGCCACAGTCATCGGTCACAAGAAGCAAACCGGACCATGCGACGGCGTCGGAATCCTCGGCATCGCATGGTCCTTCGGCGGCATGATCTTCGTCCTCGTCTACTGCACCGCTGGCATCTCCGGTAATCCGTTATACCCTCCATAATCTACTCCTCCGATCCAACCATTTAATCGTAGGAGTATGACTTTTTTTAAATTATTTCAATTGAAGAAAAATGGGTGTGCAAGTATGTTGATGATGCATATAGTAGTCAAATTAGTTCTAAAAGTTTTATTTAAAAAAAGCGACATATTACTGGATGATTGAGTAAATTTGTGAGTAATCTGTTTGTTAGTTTCGAGTTTTTAAAAACAGTTTTTTAAGAGCTTGTTAGAATGATCTAAATAAAAGTCTCCGTTTAACTTTTATAGAAAAATTTAAATGTGATGTGATATAAAAAAGAATAATGTTTGGGACCCCTTTTGGGGTCACCCCTCACCCCCTTGTCACGTGGCAGTGAGTGATTGGAGGAGCAGGAAAAAAAAGAAAAAGAAAAAGAAAAGGTAACCAATGAGAGAGAGAGGGTCAACGGGGTGGGGGAAAAGGGGATGAATCATTACTCTATAAAAAATAAAAAGTGTACTATGTCAAATAATTTCTAGGTTTTTAATTTATATTTTTAGTATTTTTTTATTTTGATATATTTAAAAAATATAAAACTTATACAATTTTTTTTTAAAAAAAAAAAACTCATTGAATACAATATTTTCGTTTTTTTATTTGATGAATTTTTTGAAGTTTTTTTTTATATTTTTAAGTGGATCTATATTAGATTATGCCTCTGTTTGGCAAATGAGGTTGGAAGCTTTTTTGGCTATTTTAGCCACAAAAAACAAAATATTTATTTAGTGTAATTTAGTGAAAGTTAAAAATTGGTCGAAGTTGTAAATAATTATTATTTTTTTTTCAATTTATTTAAATTAGGAAAATTCTATATATAAGTTTCATTTTAAGTTGGTCGAAGTTGTAAATAATTATTTTTTTTTTTTTCAATTTATTTAAATTAGGAAAATTCTATATATAAGTTTCATTTTCAGGCTTAGTGATGTATATTGGTTGATGATTAGAGAATATATATGGTTGAGTTTGAAAAGTAAATTTAAATTTTGGATAGCATTTTAAGTTGTTTTTGTTTAATAACAAAATTATAAAAAAAATAAAGTTATAAGCACTTTAGATAAATTGTGTACCAAACATTACAATTACCTAAGCATGCTGTGAATAACGGCATATTTCTAAAAACTGTGATTTCAAGTGGAATCTAACTGTGGTTTCAAAATTTTCATGATTAGATAGTAACTACTAAATTTTATGAAACAGTAACTAGTGGTTTGGTAATCAATTTTCTCTCAAACTGAAGTAAAAAAATCACAATCTGCTCACTTGTTTTGGGCTTATTGTTTTGGTAAATCAATGGAACAGGGGGTCACATAAACCCGGCAGTGACGTTCGGGCTGTTCTTGGCGAGAAAGGTGTCGCTGATAAGAGCGGTGTCGTACATGATTGCGCAATGCTTGGGAGCAATTTGTGGAGTTGGGTTAGTAAAGGCATTCATGAAACACAACTACAATTCACTTGGTGGTGGTGCTAACTTAATTGCTCCTGGCTACAACAAGGGCACTGCTCTTGGTGCTGAGATCATCGGCACTTTCGTGCTCGTTTACACTGTTTTCTCAGCCACTGATCCCAAGAGGAGTGCTCGCGACTCTCATGTCCCTGTAAGTACACCACCTTTTCTGGGTTTTGATGCTTATATATAGATAGTGAGGTTTTGGGGGTTCTAAATCTGAAGATGAATGGGCTTGTGTTGGTTTTTTTTTGTGTGTGTGTGTGTGTGTAGGTTTTGGCACCTCTGCCAATTGGGTTTGCAGTGTTTATGGTTCACTTGGCTACTATTCCTATTACTGGGACTGGGATCAACCCTGCTAGGAGCTTTGGTGCTGCTGTTATCTACAACAACAAAAAAGTCTGGGGTCAGCATGTAAGTTCATTTTTTATTGTTTTTATTACACATAAATGACCTTTTAATAATCTACCTTACTTCCCTCTTCATTCACAACATGATATTAGTGTTTGATCACCAAATAAGAAATGTAATATTTATCTAAGAAAAATGATATATAAGCCTGTTTTTTATATCCGCTTATAAGTAAGATGATTAATTAATAATTAAATAATATATTAGAGAGTTAATAGACTCTCACATAATTAGATTTAAAAATTGAGTATAATATTTGGGTTTTATTTAATTCACCATAACTAATGAGATTAATAATTGTTTTGCTCCTTAATTGTTTTATATTATGTGATCAACTCTAATAGATGCTCCTAATTAGAGAGAGAGAGAGAAAGTAAAATAAAAGTAACCGTTGTAGGGGGTGGGTTTTGGTTGGTTGGATGCCAGGCTGACGATTCAGGCTCAGGCCTAACTAACATCAAAAGTATCCCCCACCCCAAAAAAACACACACACATGATTAGCCATCACATGGTCTCTGTGTATCTCTCGTGTCCCACTCACCCTTCTCTCTCTAAAACAAACCACCCCTCCCTCAAAATAACTTATTAAAAAATAAAATAAAATAAAATATGATATTTAATTCATATTTTTTTTTTATAATTATCAAATCATTTTTAAAAAAAGTTAACGAATTTTTCAAACATAACCATTTTTGTTAGGTTAAAATAATTAAATAATTAATTAAAATAGTCAATTTTCTAAACAAGACCTCTCTATGTGCAGTTCAAAGAGTAAGTTTATGTACAAATAAAATTAATCATAAAGTGAGATACAATCGTTTTAGAGCGGGTGAGATTCACAATAATCGCTGCTTATAAGAATTGTGTCCCATTTTATATTTATTTTTTATATTTATGATATTGCTAAATTCCAAAATCTACGTTGAAACGTGATGTTGGACCCCTAAAACTTTTTATAGGTTTGGTTTGAATGATTTGAATTATTTATTTTAGGAAAATGTTTGGGATATTTTTGGAGATGTTCCCACATTCCCAAATAATTCTAACCCTCTATGTATATGTGGTGCCTATTCATATATGTGTGAGGTTCACATAATTAGTGATTCAGATTTGTAGTGGTCTTATGAGGGTCTTATAGGAGTGGAGGTCTCAATCATTATTCTTTATTTCGACAAGTTATTTTGTATATTTTATTTATATAAAAAAATTCTATATATATAATTATCATAATTTATTTAATTTATTAAGTTTGTTAAAAAAAAGTTGATAATTATATTTCTTATAAAAAGATTTTTTTTTTTTTTTTGCAACAAACATAATGAATTAAATATTGACTATCAGATTAATCTAATTTTTTGTGTGAAAGAAGTATATGAAGAATTTGATAAAATAAACCGTTCAAATTATCAAAATAAAACATATAATAAGCTTCACAAGCTCAAACAATACTCTCTAATCTATATATAGATTACATTATATTATAAGGGTTTGGATTTCTATCAAGTTGGTCATTTGGGCTTTATAAACTCATTTTTGGATCGATTTTGATGATATAAACTATTCATTTTTTAGGATTCGTTGAGTAGAATATTGATGCAAAAAAATTAAGATGACTGGATATTGATGGCTATATATTTGAATAATATTTGTATTACAAAAAATGAATGACTATTCTTAAAATTATGCGATGTTTTAAGAAGATGATAAAAAGTTGACTTTTTGATATTTTTTTTGACTATTTTGATTTTTTGTATGAAAAAGTAGAAAGATGATGCGATCCAAAAAAGTCAAAAAATCAAAAAGTTGACTTTTTACTAGTTTGCCAAAATGCCCTATATTTATCGTCATTTTTTAAAATATAAATATAATTTAACTATATATCTACTAAAATCTAATTATATTAATTTTTTACATATATATTGTATTCAACTAGTTTTAAAAAATGAACGATTCAGATCACCAAAATTAATTCCAAAATGAGTCTAATTTTTTCTCAACTTGAGATGGAAAAATTATTCAGTGTGTTTGGTTTCTATTTTTTGAATTCAATTTTCTGCAAATTGAGTTTTTTATTTTTCGTGTTTTTTTGTTTTTAGTGAAATTTTCAAAATTTTAAGCAATTTTTTCTTTTTTTTTTAGATACACATTATTTAGATGTATCTAAATAGTAAAATATTTGTGAAAAAATATTTTACGGAGAGGAGGGGTTGGAAAATGGAGCATTTATGGATAAAGTTAAGGGCTTTTTTGGGAATTACTATTATATGGGTTTTGATTTTTTTTTTTTATTTCAAACAGCCATATTAGGAATCTCAAATAATTTATCAAACTTTTTATATAGGTGTGGGATCCACACATACGTAGGCTTGTGTGGGTCCTATACTTGTGACAAGTTTGGTAAAAAATTTAAAACATTATTGGGAATTCATAATATTTCTTTTTTCAAATTTTCATCTTAACAATAACTTATCAGTAGTGCTACATGCATCAATTAATGTACAAATTAGTATACCAACACTAGTTATAACATTTTTAGAGTAATGCTAGAGACTCCAAATATTCTACTAAAAATTTTACCAAATGTCTCACATGGGTGTGGGACCCACATGAGACCCACATGTGTAGGTCCCACACCCATGTGAGACATTTGGTAAAACTTTTAGTAGAATATTTGGAGTCTCTAGCATTACTCTAAAAATGTTATAACTAGTGTTGGTATACTAATTTGTACATTAATTGGTGCATGTAGCACTACTGATAAGTTATTGTTAAGATGAAAATTTGAAAAAAGAAATATTATGAATTCCCAATAATGTTTTAAATTTTTTACCAAACTTGTCACATGTATAGGACCCACACAAGTCCACATATGTGTGGATCCCACATCTATATAAAAAGTTTGATAAATTATTTGAGATTCCTAATATGCCTGTTTGAAGAAAAAAAAATCAAAACCCATATAATAGTAATTCCCAAAAAAGCCCTTAACTTTATCCATAAATGCTCCATTTTCCAACCCCTCCTCTCCGCTTCTTAAAACCAGACCCCCACTCCTCATTCCATTCCCAGCTTAGCCAGTCACATACGATAGGCGCATAGAGAGAGAGAGAAGATGTCGAAAGAAGTGAGCGAAGAAGGACAAACACAGCATGGAAAGGACTACGTGGATCCACCACCAGCACCGCTGATGGACATGGCGGAGCTGAAGCTGTGGTCATTCTACAGAGCAGTGATCGCAGAGTTCATAGCCACACTCCTCTTCCTCTACGTCACTGTCGCCACAGTCATCGGTCACAAGAAGCAAACCGGACCATGCGACGGCGTCGGAATCCTCGGCATCGCATGGTCCTTCGGCGGCATGATCTTCGTCCTCGTCTACTGCACCGCTGGCATCTCCGGTAATCCGTTATACCCTCCATAATCTACTCCTCCGATCCAACCATTTAATCGTAGGAGTATGACTTTTTTTAAATTATTTCAATTGAAGAAAAATGGGTGTGCAAGTATGTTGATGATGCATATAGTAGTCAAATTAGTTCTAAAAGTTTTATTTAAAAAAAGCGACATATTACTGGATGATTGAGTAAATTTGTGAGTAATCTGTTTGTTAGTTTCGAGTTTTTAAAAACAGTTTTTTAAGAGCTTGTTAGAATGATCTAAATAAAAGTCTCCGTTTAACTTTTATAGAAAAATTTAAATGTGATGTGATATAAAAAAGAATAATGTTTGGGACCCCTTTTGGGGTCACCCCTCACCCCCTTGTCACGTGGCAGTGAGTGATTGGAGGAGCAGGAAAAAAAAGAAAAAGAAAAAGAAAAGGTAACCAATGAGAGAGAGAGGGTCAACGGGGTGGGGGAAAAGGGGATGAATCATTACTCTATAAAAAATAAAAAGTGTACTATGTCAAATAATTTCTAGGTTTTTAATTTATATTTTTAGTATTTTTTTATTTTGATATATTTAAAAAATATAAAACTTATACAATTTTTTTTTAAAAAAAAAAAACTCATTGAATACAATATTTTCGTTTTTTTATTTGATGAATTTTTTGAAGTTTTTTTTTTTCTTTGCAAATATTATATTTTGATTTGGATCTATATTAGATTAGGTATGTTTAAAAAATAAAAATTTTGTATAAAATATTAAATTTTTTTAACTTAAAAAAAAAGACGGAAAAAAAGCTTGATTTTTGGAAGAAACAGAGATAACGAAACAAGGTGATTAGATTTATTTAGTGTAATTTAGTGAAAGTTAAAAATTGGTCGAAGTTGTAAATAATTATTTTTTTTTTTTTCAATTTATTTAAATTAGGAAAATTCTATATATAAGTTTCATTTTCAGGCTTAGTGATGTATATTGGTTGATGATTAGAGAATATATATGGTTGAGTTTGAAAAGTAAATTTAATTTTTGGATAGCATTTTAAGTTGTTTTTGTTTAATAACAAAATTATAAAAAAAATAAAGTTATAAGCACTTTAGATAAATTGTGTACCAAACATTACAATTACCTAAGCATGCTGTGAATAACGGCATATTTCTAAAAACTGTGATTTCAAGTGGAATCTAACTGTGGTTTCAAAATTTTCATGATTAGATAGTAACTACTAAATTTTATGAAACAGTAACTAGTGGTTTGGTAATCAATTTTCTCTCAAACTGAAGTAAAAAAATCACAATCTGCTCACTTGTTTTGGGCTTATTGTTTTGGTAAATCAATGGAACAGGGGGTCACATAAACCCGGCAGTGACGTTCGGGCTGTTCTTGGCGAGAAAGGTGTCGCTGATAAGAGCGGTGTCGTACATGATTGCGCAATGCTTGGGAGCAATTTGTGGAGTTGGGTTAGTAAAGGCATTCATGAAACACAACTACAATTCACTTGGTGGTGGTGCTAACTTAATTGCTCCTGGCTACAACAAGGGCACTGCTCTTGGTGCTGAGATCATCGGCACTTTCGTGCTCGTTTACACTGTTTTCTCAGCCACTGATCCCAAGAGGAGTGCTCGCGACTCTCATGTCCCTGTAAGTACACCACCTTTTCTGGGTTTTGATGCTTATATATAGATAGTGAGGTTTTGGGGGTTCTAAATCTGAAGATGAATGGGCTTGTGTTGGTTTTTTTTTGTGTGTGTGTGTGTGTGTAGGTTTTGGCACCTCTGCCAATTGGGTTTGCAGTGTTTATGGTTCACTTGGCTACTATTCCTATTACTGGGACTGGGATCAACCCTGCTAGGAGCTTTGGTGCTGCTGTTATCTACAACAACAAAAAAGTCTGGGGTCAGCATGTAAGTTCATTTTCGGAATCCTCTCTCTCTTTTTTCTTTTTTTTTTTTCTTTTTTTTTTTGAATTATTATGCAACAAAATAAATGAAATGAATGTCTTGTTTAGATAGTTAGGAATGCAAAACATGTGAAAATAGGAATGTGTTTTTATTTTTTATTTTTATTTTGATATGGGTAATTTTAATATTATTAGAGATATACGTAGTCAATCAATTAGTTTCGCACCAAATCTCACTTGGTGAGAAATGGCATAAGAATTCTTTTTCTCCTCATTTTTCAACATCATTTCTTATCAAATTTTCATCAAAATCACTCAATTCAAACAAACTACAATTGACCAATGAATATTAGAGTTGGGGAAATTTTCTGTCAACCTAACACCTCGTTTGGATTGAGTGATTTGGAGAGAAAATGAGTGACTTGGAAAGAAAAGAAAAGAAATCTCTCTCTCTTAAATCTTAGTCACTTATTTGTAACTTCACAAATCATTTCTTTTCTTTTCTTTTCTTTTCCTTTCTTTTCTCTACTAAGAATCCAAACATAGTCTAATCGAAGCAAACCGCTTAGGCTCCCCATAGTTTTCTCTGCCAGAAACGGTTTCTCTGCTTTGTCTTTTTCATCTTTATTATATCTAAATGTGACACATACACATGAAGATCTATACAGAGACAAATAAGCTGCTGTGCTGTAATTTGTGTTTTGGTTGGTTGTGTCGTTGTGAGGACAGTGGATCTTCTGGGTTGGACCATTTGTGGGAGCCATGGCAGCTGCAGCATACCATCAGTACATCTTGAGAGCTGCTGCCATTAAAGCTTTGGGATCTTTCCGCAGCAACCCCACCAACTAAAAAGAGAAGAACCCAAAAGAAAGAGAACCAGAGAGAGAGAGAGAGAGAGAGAGAGAATAACCCAAAAGAAAAAGAAAAAAAGAGTTGCCTGATCGCTTCATCTCTCAGCTCTATCTATTTGTTTTTGTTTTTGTCTGTGTATGAGAGGATGTGATGAGAACTGTCTTTTTTTCTTTTTTGTCTTTTTTCTTTTGTGTCTTTTGATATAATTTTTAATCTTTTCTTATTAGCTTTGATTTGTGTATTTATTTGTTGTGACTTGAGAGTAGTGTTTAGTCTGTGTGCACTTAAAAATTCCTCTTCCCCCTTTCTAATCCACTTCCTTGCTTTCCCCTACTTCTTCAAGTAAAGACCTTTTGGTTTTTTTTGGCGGAAACTTATTGCCAAACAAAATACTATACAAAATTTTATATTAAAATAATGTGGTGATAATATTTTTAATAGAGTAAAAAAAGTAAACAAAATTGTATAGAATATAATATAATTGTATTGACAGTTATCATTTTTTAAAATAAAGTATTCAATACAATATGACATTTTAATTGCAAAAAAAGAGTTGATGCTAGAGACTATTAAAACATTCTATTAATCCACATTCACTGACTCATAGCACAGTTAGGTTTTAAGTTGGTTGATATGCTGTATTCACAACTATGAGATTTTTAATTTAATCAACAAATGATATGCAAATGTCTTCTTCTTTTTTTTTTTTCTTTTTTGGGAGAATGAAAGAGATAGGGGGATTGAAAACTGTATTCACAACAATAAGACATGAGGCCTTGGTCAAGAATCCGAGTCATTAAGAATAAATTTAGAAAAAGATATTTGAAGAGTCTTAAACATTTTATATTTATTTATATATAATAGAAATATTACCATCATGTCACTTTGCTAAATTAGTTTAAATTACGCAACTTTAATTTTTCAAATTATAAAGACTTACAGTTAGAATTGTGCAAAATACTGTCAAATTGGTTAAAACTTTATCGATTCGCAAACTTTAAAATTTATAATATACTTTTGAAATCACTCCGGTCTGCTATAGTTAATACATATATTTATTTTTAATCTTTAATGTAATATCCAAGTAAAAATGAGTGTGAGAAATATTTAAGATGTGAAATTTATTACAAATTATAGTTATATATATGAAAAATATTATGTAAAATTAGTTTGTGTTATATATATGAAAAATATTATGCAAATTAATATTATATATTATGTAGATACTTGATAATCGGTTAAGAATATTCTTCAAGCTAATCCGCCCGAAACCGCAATTTGATTATCTGTCAATCCACCATTTGGTTTCTAATTTTACTCTCAAACCATCCAAATCGCACCGCACACATCCTTACTTACAATTACTATATTTATCAGAGTGCTTGTGTCTCTATCTATGTAGAAGTGGGCAAGCATCCACCTCATTCATCAAAAACAAATGGTTCGAATCAATCTGTCATAAAATAGATGATTTCAATAGTCTGAGTGGATGGATGTGGATATATTTTTCTTAATCCGCCTAAGTTTGGATAAATGGCGGATAAAAGACCATCCAATTTGATCCACTAACACTCTTAAAAATATTAAGCTATGCTTTTATGATTTGTGTGTTAAAAAAATGACATTTTATTTAATAATTATATTTGTGATTTATGAAATATGAAAATTGGACATTTATTTTTATTATAAAAAATAAACAATAAAAAAATTTGGATCCAAAATAATAAAGAATTACTAAAAAATAGTTTGAAAAAAGACTCAAAACACATCTTAAACCGCCAAACTAATATGTATTAACTCGCTAACTTGCACAACCCGCTTAATTTACATCCATTAACTAAATGAATAGATAAGTATTAATTTTTCTCAATTTACTTAATTTCAAATAAATAATAAATAAGAGTCACCACCCGGCGCAAACCAATCGCCAATCGCAACGCAACTAAGATAATGTGTGAAAGACAACAAAGGGGCCATACGTAAACGTTACGGAGACACGTTGGTAAATAAACGAGAGTTTGATGTGAACCTAACATGGGTGGGGCCCATGCCACGCCCGATAATCCACCAGATCAGGTCAAAATGTCTCTCTGCCCTTCAAATTCTATTGGGCCCCTCAAAATTCTGACCTCTCTCTCGTCCAGGCCCGGAAAACCCAAAGCCGCTAAATTTTTTCTGCCACTTTGTAGCCGCTGGTTTTATAGAGGATTACAACTTATTTTAATGTAATTTTTATTTATAATTTATTAGATAAAAATAATTTAAATTTATTTTAAAAATAATTTTTTAAATATTAAAAAATAATTTTTAACTTTTATTTTAGGGTGCGTCTGTTTCACGTTTTCGAAAAAAGCATACTAATACTGTTTTAGTGTTTTGAATTATGGACGAAGTAGATGGGTGTGTGTGAACATGACAGGTCAATGTGATTTGTTCCATATGTGAAGTGTGAAGTCATGTAATAGGTCCACATCGACCCGTTTGCCCATATACATATGGAACCAACACATTCAATTAAACCCATTTCAAAAAATTAGGCGCTTCAACCTGATCCACATAACAATATATTAAGGTGGGGTTTAATCCAACAATTGGGAACATGTGAACTTCAATTTGGGAACAAGGAACATTCCAGAAGTGATGGATCCTTGGGTCATATTGGTTGTGTTTTCTCGTAATTCAAATTTCAAATTCATATGATTGCGTCCCACAATCGAGATTGGGGGAAAATTTTAGGAATGTCTATTGGATTGGTTATGAAAAGATTGTTTCGATTTTTATGGATTTTTGGTTGTGTGAAACCCTAGTTTGAGCAAAGAAGGTAAATTTGTTGTGAACGTAAGTGGGCGGAGGCGTGGGGCATCAGCGTAGCCAATTGAAGATTAGCAAAATGACTACGAAACGTATGTTTAGTGTGTTACACCACTAAGGACTATTTTAGTGTGTTACATCAAAGTGTTACGTTTAGGGGATTTTTTTAGTATGTTAGGATGGAGGAGTCTTAGGTTTGTAAAAAAATACACTAAGGAGTTTTTTAGTATAGTGTGTAATGTTATAGTGTTACATTTGAGGAGTTTTTCAATGTGTTACGTTGGAGGAGTGTTACGTTTGTGAAAAATATATTAAGGAGTTTTTTGGTATATTAGTATTATATTAGAGTGTTACGTTTTATGAAAGTACACTGTTATGCTTGGAAAAAGTATACTACGAAGTTTTTTAGTCTGATACGTTGGAGGAGTGTTACATTTGAAAAAAAAATACACAAGGAGTTTTTTAGTGTAGTGTGTTACGTTGGAAGAGTTTTTCAGTGTATTATGTTGGAGGAGTGTTACGTTTGTGAAAAGTACACTAAGGAGCTTTTTAGTTTGTTACGTTGGAGTGTTGAAGTGTTACGTTATTGGGGTGTAACATTTAGGGGGAAAAAAAAATATACTAAGGGGATCTTTTAATGTGTTACGTTATAGTGTTGGAGGAGTCTTTTAGTGTAACGTTGAAGTAGTGTTACGTTGTTTAAAAGTACACTGAGTTTTTTAGTGTGTGACACTCTTACATTAGAGTGATGGAAAACGTGATCCAAAAATTGGATCTAACTTTCCTAAGATGGCGTCCCTCAATGAGAAATGGTAGAAACGTCCACTAAATCATACCAAAATTTAAAATAGGATCTTATGGTAAGATTGTCAAAACAAAGAGGACCTAGCAGTGTATGAGAAAATTCATGGGACTATTTGGAGTAACTAATTCCCATATGAGACTTTCTGATAATTTTATCTTTAATTTAAAATTTTATATTAAATAGTTTAATGTAATTTTTATTTATAATTTATTAGATAGAAATAACTTAAATTAATTTTAAAAACAATTATTTAAAAATTAAAAAAATACTTTTAACTTTTATTTTAGGGTGATTTTTCATAAAGTCTTATTCTTAATTGTTATATTCCATTTAATCCATCTTCTTTTTTAATATTCCATCAGGTCCTGTTTAGAATAATATGATCAAATCACCCTTCCAACTTTTTGTGCATGTTTCTATTTTGAAATTAATACTGTCTTCTTCCTAATTGTTATATTCCATTTAATCCATCTTTTTTATATTCCATTAGGTCTTGTTTAGAATAATATGATCAAATCACCCTTCCAACTTTTTGTGCATGTTTCTATTTTAAAATTAATACAAAATAAAAAAAATTACAACCGTCCCTCATTCCATGAAGAAAATCTCTCCTTATTCTAGGAAGAATCTTTACATTTCAAGAATAAAATATTTCGCTTATTTCATAAAGAAAATATTTCCCGTGGAGAAAATCTCATTTATTCCATCAAAAAAATCTCACATTCCTAAAATCATAAATCTTCTACCTTTTGAAAATCAAAAATGCTAGAGACCTCAAAAATTCTACCAAAAGTTTTACCAAATGTCTCGCATGGGTGTGGGATTGTGTGGGTCCCACACCCATGTGAGACATTTGGTAAAACTTTGATAGAATATTTGGGGTCTCTAGCATTACTCTTTGAAAATCTCTCACTAAATGTTAATGTAAACTTTCACATTATAAATGCATGCTGATAAATAATATTTTCTCATAGAACCATACACTGTGAACATTCACATTGTTTATGCTAGTGTAGGACTATTTTTTAATGTAAATATTAATATTAATTGTGATTTGTTGTGAGTAATACATGATTAATGTTGTCATGTTATTTTGATATTATAGAGACACTATGGACATTCACATTATTGGTAATTGTTTGTTATTGTGTGCATATAACCATTCAGGAATGTTGATATGAACATTCACAACTCTATGTTATATTACTAAGATGCACAATATGTTCTGACCAAAATATCTTATATGACTATTTTTAAATGCAAATATTAACATTGATTAAAGATATGATAATCACAACACCAATGCAAACTTTCACACCATATAATAATCAGGTAAAAATCATGAAAACTCATACAATGATCAGTAATATGTGAATGTATTCACATTATGCAACAATCTGCAATCATCAGTTTACATTGCACATCATGTAATCATCACATGTTTCTAATGTTAAAGTTCACATTATCAAATTTAAAACATTAAAATCTAATAATCTACGATAACAATGACTTTAGTGGATGTGCACGTTCATATTCACAAAAATACCTAATTAATAAGCATACATATACACGGATATATAATACCATATCAATCCATCTTAAAACAAAAAGTCGAATCTAACTTTAATAAATTATTAAACAATTTTGAACATACATTTTTACCAACACATACCTATATGTAATTACAAAACAAAAACGGTGCTAACCTTGTCCCTACGATATATGAATGGAAGAAAATAGAGTTTCGAATTGCAACAATGGAAAAACACAAAGTTTTGAACTGTAACAATGGAAGAACACAGAGTGTCGAACTGCAACAATAGAAGAATGATGATGATGATAATGATGATGATGAGCTTCTTTCTGGGTTTCTTATATTTTGCTTCTTTCTTTGATGATCATCACCCAATTCATCTCTCTGAGTTTTTGTTGTTTTGTGATTTTCTTCAATTCTCAAACGGGCAAATTAGAAAGAGAGCGAATGAGAGAAAGCATGAGAGAGAGAGAGAGAGAGACTATCAGAGGAAGTTTCTTTGTGCTGCAAGATTCTTTTTTAACCGTGTTTTCTTGTCAATATTATAATTTAATAATATATATTTAGTTTTTAAAGAAACTCATTCCACTAATTTCAAAACAGTCAAAACAGAAAAAAGAAATAAGAAGATTACAATTATGTGTAATACTTATTATCAAAAATAGAACAAATGGTATATTAGTCCTAAAAATATTATAAATAAAGAAACAATGATCTCATGGGATACGGGGAGTTTTTTTTTAAAAATATTCTTAAAAAAAAATTAGAGAATTGATCATTTTCAAACTATTTGAGAAACTAACCTACTTTTAAAAATTGCATTTTGACAATGCATTTTTAAATTGAAATTACATTTTTAACATGCAATTTCACCTTGAAATCGCATGTTGAAAATGCAATTTATGATGACATGGACTTCATTAAGATATATTGCATTTTCAACATTTGATTTCAAGGTGAAATGGCATGTTGAAAATATAATTTTAATTTCAAAATCACATTTTCAAAATGTGATTTCAAAATGCATGTTAGTTTCCTAAATAATTTGAAAAGTGAGTCAATTCTCTAAATTATTATTTTTTGGAATTTTAAAAAAAAAACTTAAAATATAAGTCTAAATATATGGGACTAAGAAGTTGTTTGGAGTGTCCTAAATAAGTGTACTTTTTGTCTTTTTGGACTAAAAAGTTGAGAGAAAAAATATAGATGTTTGGATTAATTTTTTGACTTTTTATGAAAAAAATGTGTATTTAAAAATTATATTAATAAGTGTGTAAGAGAAGATAGGATAAAGAGATGGTACGGATTGACAGTGGAGGGGAGTAGATGAGAAAATATTGTCTAATTTGTGGTATTTGATTGGATGGTGTTGTTTGGCTTGTGAGGGCCCACCACGGGTCCCATTTTTCTAATCGGAACCGTTCAATGTATAGAACTCGTCGGATACTATGTGCTTCTAAAAAATCACATTGATTGGATATCAATAGTTATCTGATCGTGTTAGTTTTTCTTGTTAACTGTCCTAAGTAACACTATCTATTTTTATATAAAACTGATTTGATCATGTAGTTAGCGATATCCGATAGAAGTAATGTTGTATAGCCATATAGTATTGGACGAGTTCTATATATTGAACGGTTCAGATTATCAAAACGGGATCCGTGGTGAGCCCCCACGAGCCCAACTTTACCATCTAATTTAGTTAATATTCTACTACAATTTTTTTTTTATGCTGTCAGCGACGGACAACATCACGTCAATCATCATTTGGGCTGCATGTTTGATTTGTATTCATATTTATATATTAATTTTTTAAATTTTTTTTTTTTTGATGAATAGTGATAACTTTTCAACTTTTTAAATAACTTTTTAACTTTTTAAATTTTTTTAAAATTATCAAACTTGACCTAAATGTAACATAAGAAAACTTTATAAACTTATTAACTTATAAGTCCTAAATCTTTCATTATTTATGATTATTAACTTTTTAGCTTAAAAAAAACTCCAACAAAGAAGGCCTTTGGAAGGTGTGACTGTCCACCTTTTTTTTTTTTCAAATGACTGTCCACTTTTTGGACTACATTTTTTTTTTGTTTCAAATGACTGTTCACTTTTTGGACTATAATCAGTGTGTTTTGTTTGAATTTTTTGAATTAAGTTTTTTAAAAATTGAATTTTTTGGTTTTTATATTTTTTTGTTTTTAGTGAATATTTTTAAATTTTTAAACATTTTTTTTTACTATTTTAGATGCATCTTACTTAGATACATCTAAAAAGTAAAAAATTTGTGAAAAAATATTTTAAAAAGTTAATAAACACATAGAAATACAAAAAATATACTGAATTCTTGTATTTTTTTGTATTTTGATATTTAGTGAATTTTTAAAAGTTTTTTTTTTTACAATTTTTTTACTTTTTAGGTGTATTTATGTTAGGTGTGTCTAAAAAGTAAAAAAATTGTTTAAAATATTAAAAAAATTCAATAAAAACAAAAAAACACAAAAAGTAAAAAAGTAAATTTTTTTAAAAATATTTTTAAAAAAATTTACTTTTTTACTTTTTGTGTTTTTTTGTTTTTATTGAATTTTTTTAATATTTTAAACATTTTTTTTACTTTTTAGAAAAAAAAAAAAAAAAAAAGAGTAGGAAAGATAAGTGTGATTTGGTATAATTTATTACAAGTTAAAATTTAATAATCAAAAAGTAAAAATCAAAAGCACATATTTTTCAATTTTTAAATAATTAGTTTTTCTCAATTTATTTAAACTATTTCTGCCTGAAAAGAAATTGTACCAAACACTCTGATACAGATTCTCAAATTAAAATAAACTATAATCACCCTATAATCTACACCAAAAACCCAAATAGTGGATCAGAATACCACTCTTCAGAAATCAAGATGTCAGTGTATGATTTGATTCTAGTTATCAAAATAAGTGAATTGTAGTTCCGATTCAATCTATTATTTTATAATTATGATTTTAATTTAAAATTAAATAAAATCATTTAATTGTTTGAAAAAATGATAGCATACTAACGTTTTAAGTGTCTTTTTTTTGGAATAAGTTAGTGAATAATATTTTATAAACATGTTAACAAATGATGGCAGGTTTTACCCTATTTCCAATCCGAACCAAACCAAACCACATTTCACTAGTTTGATTTCAAGATTTTTATAATTGGCATTGGTCCAAATTGTATATAGGAAGTGACTTGATCCTTGATTTCCTCTTAAATTAAATGATACTACAGTAAGGATCAATGTATTCAAAACCTATTTAATTCTAAAACACGAGAATTTTGATACACGATTTGGTTAGAAATGTATTAGGAAAGAGGATCAGTGTTAAATAGATGATGATTGTGTGAGGAAGGGGGTGAGGGCCGGGTAACGCCCCAGCTTATCCAGCTAAAGCCAAAGAGATAGTAATTCAAAGAACATATATGCCACAGAAACTGAAGGTATTCCATCAGGTTTGAGCTCTCACCATTTAAAATGTCACAGCTTACAAAAGGTCATGAATGTTTATAGCTCAGTCCTATGAGGTCATGCAAACCCAACCCCTTTCAAGTGACACAAACTATGTAGTTGGGTTACAAATTAACATGCCAGAGATTGGTTTCCCCACTCTAATGCATGACCAAAGAGAAGTGGCTTTTGCCCCAAAATTATAGAATATATATAGAGTAGTGATACATAACTCTAATATGAGTACTAATAGGGGAGAAGAGAGAGAGAGAGAGAGGAGAGCGAGAGAGGGGGAGGGAAAAATGTTTGGAAGCTCTAGGGGGTGAGCCACACCAATGAGTGTAATGTTTGGCTTTTTTTTTTTTTTTAAAACTTTCCACATCATTAGAACTCAAATAGAACTCTAAAATTAAGGGGATGTATCATTGCTGCAGAGAGAGGAGTGTGGGCTCCCATATCACATGGGCACTCTCCCCATCATTAAAGCTCCTATTAGAGCTCTCAAATTAGAACTCCTAAACATTGTTGAATACATACAATCATCACTTACAGAAGTAAAAACCTGTAATAAAGGCTGATAAATTAGCCTAAAAACAGCAGCACTCAACAGGACCAAGACCAGATTAAATGTATTCAAATCTTTAAACTAGGATCAGTAGTTTACAACTTCCATTAGTAACCATGACAATCCAAACCACATCACAAATGAATCCCTAGCAAGATTTGCACATATATATTAAATGGAAGTTTCATCTGGATGCAGGTTCAGACACAAATCCACAAAAATCCACAAATCCAGGTTCTTGAAATGCATTCAATTTAAGAGGAAATCAAGGATCAAGTCATTATCGATCGACACAGGCAATAAAACTTAATTCCAGGTTCAGGCACAAATCCTCAAAAATTAAATGCATCTCATGAGCTATACACAAAAATCTAATCATTATCGATCAACACTGGCAATAAATTCATTACACTGCAAATTAAGGAAAGATCCACATATCATCTCTCCCACACAACAAACATATGTAGAATCGCAGAGACAACAAACGAGCATGCCACCAATACAACAGATGACTAACATGCTTTAAAAGAACAGAGTTAAATGCTGGGTAATATAATCCTCAAGTACCTTAGTCAGGTAAAGCAGTTCCTCTCTCAAGATTATTCTTGATCTCCAGTGTATATTTACCAAAGGCTCGCTCAATCTTCTTATTGAAATGCTCATTACGGTCATTGATTGAGTCAATATCTTTCTCATCATGGAACCTCCTCCTCCTGCTGAGTGACTTGCGCTTCTCGTCTCTATCCTTCAGCTCCTTCACCATCCTTTCAACCTTGTCATCTGAAACTTTTGGTGCCTGTCAAATACAAGTATACTTGTGAGTTTTGCTCAAGTTTCCCTGGATCCAGAAAGACGTATTTCCTCAATGAAAATGCTTACCTTGCCATATTGGAGGCTTGAAGCTTCTCTATAGAATTCTGGATCAGCTTCTTTCATTTTATTGTACTCTTCAATGTCAACATCGATGTTCTTCGTCCGTTTCTTGTATGCATTGTATAATGATTTCTGATTAAAAACTGTTGAAGAAAGACACCTTATATCAGTTTTACCATCAGACTATACCTTCCGTCGTGTCATTTCTGAAACCCTGAATATCAATTCATAGGCATATAATCATAAAATCTGAGAAGCATGGACGTGTCGTGTCTAACACCAACTCAGACACCAACATGACACGACACTCACTGAACATTTCCCAACACTTAAGACACACATGAAACACATTACAAATGTGAATAAAATAACTTAGAATCCGCAAAATCAATGTAATTTATACATATTCTCCTCTAGATTTTAAAAATTATCTTTTACTTAAATATTCATATATATAACATAATAATTATTTATCCTCACACATTGCAAAATTATATATTTTGCATGTGTCCCCCCACGTCATGTCCTATATTTTTTGAAAATTTTCATGCCGGAGTATCCATGTCATATCCATGTTCATGCTTCTTAGCATAAAATGGTATTAGAAAGGAGGGGCACAAAATGACAAAGATAAAAGAATCCGGCTTCAAGTTTGACAAAGCTATTTTTGCCACATTAACAAAACTAAATCATGATCACAAGATACATTTTGAAGAATATAAAAAATTGATTTCAATAACATACATATTTTCCAGCAGTCCAAGCACATTATATGGGAAAGCTCTGGAATTATGCATGTGCATAAGAGTGCAGATATACAATAATTGGCTGTGTTATATAATATGCCAACAATTCAACACCATATGCTGTTATTTGACTGTGTAACAACAAATATTGTTGCATTTTGTATGCCCAATAGAAAAGTTCTCTTCAAAAGGTTATGGTTCACCATAGCGGTTGCACAAGTAGATGATGTGTTAATCAAAGCTCATGTAGTTCTGGGATGAAGAATATTCTTTCCCAGATGCAAACAGATAGGATATAGCATTCAAAAACTACACACACATGCACATAAATATTCAAGTTAGTGAATCAAGCACGCCTCATAAAGTAAAATATTTGGTTTAATAAACAAAATGACCTAATCATACCATCCCAACCAAATGGAGCAGGCTCTTTTTCCCATTTCTTATACTTTGTCTCTGCCATCTCTTCGGTATCTAGCATATATGCCTTGGTCATATCCAAACCATTTGCATCCAGAAGCTTGCCAATTTTTTTCTTCCTTTCCTCAATCCACTTTTCTTTAGAAACACCCCTAGACTCTGGTGGAGCTTCCATTCGTTTCTTCTCCGTCACCATGGCAGTTTGATTAGCTTTTCTTGCCTCATTCTACATGCAGAGAGCCATAAGCCCCACTAGGGATTAGAAAATGGAAAGGAAAAGATAGACGCAAATAATGTTACAAATGAGATAGAAATTAGTTTAATGGCCATACAAATTTTTTTTTTGATAAATTAATGGCCATACAACTTAGCTTTTGCCATCAAAACTTGGATAGATTAAGACAATTCTGTTTCAACTATTTGATTCACCCTTACCATCTTTAGCCTTAACTCGAACAATTTTTTCTGCCTCCCTGTGAGTTTTGTGAAGTCAACCTCCAAATTCTCCTCAACAAGATTGTCACTGTCCCCATGCGGATGATCTTCAAGGTCATCTATTTCATCATGCACATCTTCAGCCTGATTAGGAACAGCAACTGAACTGGGCTGAACATTGCCACCAATAGCTTGAATTACTCCTGACAGTGTAAAAAATAAGTCAGGTAATTCAATGAAAAATTACAACAAAGATATGGGCAACTAAATGACAGATTAAGGTGGGGGGATTAAATCCCAATGTATTCGTAACACATCAGATGGCATCCAAATTTTGCTACCCATATTTGGTCACTGTAGAAATATAGCACGGAACAGGATATTTAAAAACTATTAGAAAGGGCTACTGTGGCAGCTGGAGGGTCTGGAACAGTAGCAATTTTTGGATATATAGCGTATATTGGTATTAATTTGAAGGCCAAATAGACGTGGAAAATGTGGTCAATTGGCTAGAGCTTTGGGGCTAAAAGGGCATATTGTTTGGGGCCTCTGAACAGTATCCAAGAATACTGTTCTGTGAAATTGAAGAAGAGGAAGAAAAAATAGAAGGGAACGACATAAGGAATGATACTAGAGCTTTTTATGAATTACACCATAAGGTAAGGCTATCCAACTCCGCTGCAAAGTAGGATCACATTGCAGACTTCTAGGCTGTAAGATTTCTCTTAATATACTAAGGCTATGACTCATCGTATCAATTATAGTATTGTAAACCTAACAAAGACCACATATAAGACTCAAACAACTTTACTTGACTCATAATACAACTCATGGGTAACCCATACAAGCCTTGTCCAGAAAATCTGAAAAATACTGAAATAACCCTCTCTTAAAACCTAAAGACACAAAGCAGCCCAAACCTGTAAAACATACAAGCTCAAATTAACGATAAATTTCATTATACAATGCCCTTATCAAGCTCCCCCTAAATTTCCAAGGTTGCGTTTGGTTGTGTTTTGTAAATGTGATTTGAGAGTATGAGTTGTATTTTGAGTTTGTGTGTTGTAGAATTATGATTTGAGTGTAGAAAATTTGTTTGGTAAAGAGTTTTGAAAATAGTTTTGGAAAAGAGGTTTGATTTGAGTGGGAAATTGTTGATGTGATATTTGATATGTGATACAAAAATTTACAACTCCTAACTAAACATACAACTCAAAATTATTTTAAAGCACATTAAAAATTAAAAAAAATTCAGAAAATATTTTTCCCAATTATATAAATCAATTGCAAAAAAAATATATATATATATTCTGTACAGCAGAGGACATCCGGGTGGATGTCCCCAAGGACGTCCGGGTGGTAGTCCCTAGGGACGACTGGGCGGTCTTCCCCTGGCCAAAAAAAAATACAAGAAACGCGCAGAATGGACAGAGCTTTCGACAGAGTTTTGGAAAATTAATTCCAAAACTCTTACCAAACATGGAGCTGAAACTAGCATGTAGAATCACATTTCAAAAGCACAACCAAACACAGCCCAAATTTTCCTCATTTCTGCTTTGCATTGTCTACATCACATTAAATACTCTTAACATATATTTTCTTTCAAAATCAAAATGTGCTTTGTCATTATAACAAGAAGGCGCTGCCCATCTACAAAGGAATCATACAAGTGCAAATGGACACTCTCATCTCCAAGTTATGATCATGAAAGCAGCCTTTCAAGTAGCCAAATATATCTCATATATCACTACTTGTAGCACTTTGGGGAAAAAACCATAAAGCAGTTCACCTGGAGGGCATTAATAGAAATTATGTTGATGCCGCTCATAGTAAAAGATAAAGCTATATCACTATTGCAGCTTTGAGGTGAAATATAAGTACTTGAAATTGGGGCATAAATAGCAGTAAGGTTTTTTCTATTATGGATTTTAGTTGAAATTTCACAAGTTGCATCTTTGCAACATAGCAAGAAAGACACTTTATATTATTATCTATCAATCTCCTCCTAATCCTATGTAAATATTTCCAAATTAGTTTAACATAATTAAACTAAGAAAAATCATGTTGAAGACGGAAGCAAAATAAGGCTGAAGACAAGAGAAACAAAAGCGCTAGTTATTAGCTTGCATTACAAACAGCAAAGAAAAAAGTTAACATTAATTCAGAGAAGTGCATCAATTGACCAAACCATGAGAAGCCAGCCTTGATAGCATGTCCCCCTCCAATGGACCAAACCCACCTCTATGACCATCTAGAGAAAAATTGATAAAAAAATTAGACAGAGCCACTCCAGAGCATTAACTCTTCCACTAAATTAGTTGCCAAGTTCAGAAACGAAGTATGCAAACCTTAAGAATGCATTAGCTTGGTTAGTATCATACAAGAAAGCCTACAATAGCTTGGTGAGTATCACAAAAGAAAGCCTTCCCCCAACAACTAGAGCTAACTTGTAAAGATCCAAGTTTTCATTTGGTATTATCCACATAATATCAGTCAAAATTCATGATTGTGTTGGAGGCTACTAAATTAACCCAGTGTTGTGCACAAAGTACTTGTCAATGACCCATGTTGATTTTTCATGGGAGAAAATTAAAGGAAGTTGTGAGTCAATATGCCACATTGACATGAAAGGGGCTTATAATTTTTATTTTTTTTTTTTTTTTTTGGGGGGGGGTGGGTAGGAAAGTAAGGGTCTTATAATTGTCTTTAAAAGTTTCTTTATGTTTTTGGACAAGTATGGTAGCTACCAATCTTTATTGCTTAGATAATGGCTCTATGAGTGTATTGTTTTCCCAACAAGGAGGAGGTCACAGTCACTAGTGCGTTAGTGCTGAATTCAGTTAAGGGAACCTAGAATGACTTCTTTTTTTGAGTAATACTGTAGAGAGTTATCTTTCCCTCAGCCAACACCAGAAACTGTGAAACACCTAAACCTAAATAAAACAGAGATCACAGACTGTTGAGTATGGGTTAAGATAAAGAAGGTGGGTGTATATAAATTATAATACAGATAGAAAGAGTTATTCATCTCCACAGTACATGCAATATGAAATCACTTTGAACAAATAAATGACAGAACATAAAACTTTGATAAATATTATATATATCAAATAGAGTTATGTAGCTTTGAATTCTATTGCTTGGAAAATTGCTTCAAGGAATCCAACAAACAAAAAACCACACACACACGCATAAAAGAAAATAGAAAAAATAAAAAATAAGCTTACCTTGATCATTTTTATCCATCTGTGCCTTTGTTTCAGCAATTATTCTAAAGCAATAATCACTACATTCATGATAAGGGTTTGATGCATTTCTGCAATCAGGGTGCACTCTTCCTTCTTCAGTCATATTCGATGCCCCTATACTGCTTTGATTGCCTGAAGAAAGTAACTCAAATATGAGCATATGCTTAGACTGTGATTTGAACTCCTTAGTCAAGTCTTCCACTTGTTCAATTGATTATTTTTTAGAAAATAATTGAAAATGTTCATATGTACTTATAAGCTCCAAACAGCACAAGCACTTGCTTGCTAATCTGATATAAATCATTTATTTTTATTTTTTGTTCTTTTGTACAAGTATATATGCAAACAAAAATCAATTGAAAAAAAGCATTGTACTTCAAATTCAATGATAGAATTACTAGAATCAATCTGAAATTTACTCAAGTTAAAAGCCATAATCTATATCTCTACATATTTATATGCATTCTATAAAACATGTCTCTGGAGATGTAAAACATTTAGGACACAATTACCCTTCTAAAATAAATAATGATAACAGTAGCGTCCATAGCAATGAAAGAATGCTACAAATGAAGATTAAATGCACCTAATAACAATTATTATCAATTCAACTAATCCTAATGACAAATTTTTATCAAATTTTGAATTTATGATGATGCATTATCATGACAGTAACAATTCAATCCCATCCCAAATCATTAACTCCAGAAAGTCTTTAAATTTTGTCTAGACATGCCCATTTTTTGTTTCGTTAAAACAATATCACACGGAAGCTTACAAGTATCTAAAGGTCAGTTTCTCAAGATCTATGATTTATTTCAAGTGATGTTTTAGAATACCATCCATTATATAAATTAAAGAAGAAACTTGACTAAGGGTCACTCACTGGTTGAACTGTCTAATAAGAAAAAAATTAAATCCTAACATCTATGAAGCACAGTTACAGGTATGGATACTGGTAAGATACGGGATACGTCGATACAGTAAAATCTAAAAAAAAGTATGGTACAGGTATGACTTGGTACGTTTGTTACAAAATATTTATTTTTAATTTGAAGTAATATAAAAATTGATTAAAGCTCCGTTTGGGAAGATGGATTTGGGGCTTTTTTGACTATTTTAGCCACAAAAGACAAAATAGGCTATTTTAGCCACAAAAAACAAAACATCACATCCAACCCATAATTATTACACTCTTCTCTCACAAAAAAAAAGCCAAAAACCCCTTCCCAAACCAAGCTTTTTAGCCTAGGCTAAAATAGCCAAAAAAAACCAAAAAATCAAAAAGTCAACCACTTCCCAAACGAAGCCTAAATGGTTTAATTTGTTAAAATTCAACCTAAAATTAACATTTTATGCCAAAAGTAAAAGTATAAACCAAAATTAAGGCATCGTTTGGGAACCCTCCTTTTCAGCCAAAAAGCCAAAAAGTTACTCCCTCCGTCCTAAAATAATGGTCTCTTTTGGGGAATCCAACTTTTTTTGGTAGTACAATTATTGTATTTGAAAAAAGTTAATTTTCCAAAATTATCCTTTTGATAGTACATTTTTTGGGAATATCAATGTCATAATTGTACTTTTTATATTGTTTATTAATTTAAAAGAAGGGCAAAATAGGAAATTAACCAAGCTTTTTAGCCTAGGCTAAAATAGCCAAAAAAAACCAAAAAATCAAAAAGTCAACCACTTCCCAAACGAAGCCTAAATGGTTTAATTTGTTAAAATTCAACCTAAAATTAACATTTTATGCCAAAAGTAAAAGTATAAACCAAAATTAAGGCATCGTTTGGGAACCCTCCTTTTTAGCCAAAAAGCCAAAAAGTTACTAAATTAGCCAAAAGCCAACAACCGATGCCAAAAAGTCAAAAATTCTCTTTTCTCTCTACTTTTTGCGCATCTTTTCGTAAAAAGCCAAAAAGTCATCCCAAACATACTAATTTTTTTTAGCTCATATTTTAGCTAAATAGCCAAAAAGTTACTAAATTAGCCTGTTCCCAAACGAGGCATAAATGTCATTATATTAAATAACTTACAAACGATAGCTTAATTCTAAAATCATACTAAGCATAAAACTAAAAAATAAAAAAGAAGCTAGTGAAAAGGAATTTTATCTCTCTAATAGAAGAAAATATTATTTCGACTGAGGTACAGTACGGCTTGAGTATATATACTAATACGTCTACTATCTCAAAAATTAAGAAGAAAAAATTTGAATACTGTTTTATGTATCAGGTGCATACAGTATACAGAAACACCATACGAAATGTATACGGTGGTATGGGTACGATGTGTTTGTCAAAATAACCATGCTTCATAACCTAACATCATAAGCTTACAACCTTATCATGAATATAATTATAAAAAATTATATAAATAAAACATAACCAAGAGTTTTTTTTTGTTTGTTTTTTTAATCCCTGCTTGCTTTCTTTCCTTTCCTTAAAACTTATCTTTGATCAGCCCACTAAAGTTCTTAAATTGTTCATAAATAACCAAAAAAGAAACAAAAAAGTACAAGATCCATAAAAAAAAACAGAACAAGCACATCTCCAGATACTTAAATTTGTTCATAAATAACCAAACTAGTTTCTCCTCCAGTATTTCTCAAGCTACAAATCACAAGGAAGCAACAAAGGCTAATTCTTAAACATAACAAATTTTACTAAACCTAAACCCATCCCGCAAATTGAAGAGAGAGAGAGAGAGAGAGAGAGAGAGAAACCTGGAGAAGGAAGAAGGAAGAGTGAAGAGTTATTCCGAAATCAGAAGTTCATGATCTTCAAATAAGTGAGAAGACGATTGAACGCCAATCCCAACCCTAGCAGGAAACACCACCGATTTCCATACATAAAGTAGTCCAGTTCAATCCAGAAATGTTACGCCGCTAATACTACTACTGCCACTGGGTCCCGCCGAACTCCGGTTCAATAAATTTTTTTTTTGACGGTCCAAAAAGTTTACCGGCCAAATTTTCAAACCGAAACGGTTCAAGGAGATTTTTCTTTTCGTGATCCAAAGGTCCCGTTTCTTTTCAGAGGTAGAATGAAAAGGATTCATAGTGAAAGGATTGTTGGTGAAGAGATTGATAGTGAGGAAATTAAATAAAATTATATTTATTTTGATGATAGTTGTTAAAGCAACTCCAACCACACTCTTTATTTTTCACTAGCTAAAGTATAAAAAAAGCACACTCTTTATTTTACCTAATTAGTTTAACTATTGTGTGTTCCAACCATACTCTTTATTTTAAAGAGTCATTCAAACTAACTTAACCAATTTTCAGAATAAAAAATGCTATATATATACTGTATTTTTCATAAAATGCCACATAAGCACCAAATGCTAATATGGTTGTCAATGTGACATTTGCGATAATATTTTTAAAAATAATATTTTTTAATATTAGCTTTAAAAATATTATAAAAATTAATTTTTAACTAATATTTAATTTTTTTTTTTAATTTATAAAATGTATGGTTTGTGAAATTAATATAGACCAATTCAGCTGATACACCAATTTCTAATTGCTTTATGCAAAATAAAATAATATTGTTTCATAAGAGAATAATTTTCCTGCATTTGAGAACCATGCAGAAACAAAACCAAATCACTACACAGATATGCAAGAGTCAAAGCCCTAATTATTCAAATTTCATTCACTACACATATTATGTCATTAAAAGCACGGCAACATCATGCAAAGTTACAAAATTGAAGGTGTTGTAGACCTACTTGATGATAATCTAATAATATAACAATCTTTACAAGGGGGTATAACCAATAAGATCAAAGTTCAGAATCATTACTCTCTTACCAGGATACAGAGAGTATCCTTGCTGTAAAGAAAGAAGAGAAGGATATTTGATTAGAGCAAGAAACTACTCAAATCATATGTTTCGGAGGTGCACCGTAACATGCTTAAAGTAAAACCAAAGGTAATATTAGGGCGATTATTTTCCACCACTTTGATAGAGAGAAACCTATTTTGCACATACAGAGGGAGTGAGAGTGAGGCATTGTCCATATTCTTTCCCTGCATTTTAATGATCTCCATATTTGCTATTCCTAGTCATCAAGGATTGCAGTTTTCATTCTGTCCTCGAATGGAAATTTTGACAAGTAATTATTGAGTCGGATGCTGAAGTGATTATCAAGAATATCAAGAACAGGTCAATGCTTAAACTGTATTGGGGCTGCACATTCGTGTGCTGGCTGAGCCCTTATTCTCCAACAGTTCAATGTGTCGTCCAACCTTCCCTACTAGGGCATTGCTCTCTCTGATTTGGAGGCCAAAAAACTATGCAGAGATTTGCATAGGACTGGCTATATTCTCCACGGTTATCAAGGACACATCAAAAACTAACATTGATCATTAAAAGTAAAACACACCAATTAGGACAGACTCTTCAATTAGAGATAACAATTGTCTAACTATCTATTACACACTCCCCACCAAACTAAGCATCATCTATATTGAAGGAAATAGGGTAACACCACCTCAAAATTTCACAGAAATTAAACTCAAAAACTCAATTAAAACACATAAGCATAACCTGCAAATCAAAGAACTAGATAAAAGTAAAACAAACCCAATTTGATCTTTCCCAAAACCCATCAAATTGGCGTCTTACGATAATTGAATGTAGAAAAAAAATAAGATTTCAACCAATTAAAATCAGCAATATTTTCACATACATGAATCTAAACAACTGTAGCAACAGCATACAAGACTACCAATCTTAGATACATACATGTGAAAAACAAAGAAAATAACATACAGATAATAGACGAACAAGAATGGATGGGGGTTCGAAGATAGGTTTGGGAAGGGGCTTTCGCAAAGATGGGTAAAAATGGGGTTCATAGAAGGGGAACTAAAAATCAAAAGGGAAACAAGGATTCACAGATAGGGGTTTGCAGATATGGGAGGGGAAGAGTTGAGAGAGAGAGAGAGAGGGAGAGAGAGAGAGAGGGTTTATGAGTTGCATAGAAGGGGAAGACGAAGAGATAGAAGGATCCATACCTTGAGGAAGATGTCAGATGGAGGGAGTTGCAGACGACGCTGAAGGCGAAGATCGATTTCGCGCTGAAGTAGAGGATCGATTTCGCGGGAGAGACTTCACTGCAGAGTTTGGAGAGCCTTCAATCACTCTCCAATTGTAGCCAGCGCAGAAAGGATGAGGAAAAATAGGAAGCCCTTTAACTAGCCCATTGGTGTAAGAATATTACGATAATATTAGTTAAAATAGCTAACAATTGTTAAATTATTTTTATATAAAATAATAAAAAAATAAAAAAAATTAAATATTAATATTCAAAAAAAATGCTTAATATATAAAAAATAAAAAAATTTCTAATCCTTTCATTATTTTTTTAATATCACCTCCACCACCTCCTCCATTCTAATTTCCTTTTCAACATCCATCTTAATCCCCTACTCTGTCCTTATTATTTCCTAACTCTACAAACAAACACAACACTTAGCCCCACCTCCATCTTAATCTCACCCCACTCTCTACACCCCAAAACAATCGGGGCCAAAAGGTTTAGCCGCCAAATTTTACTTTTAGGGTTATTTACCCAGAAGCTCCTGGTTTGAAATCGAATTGGAATGTATTGTTAAATTTTATGAATTTATTATGAAATTTATATTGATAATTTAAATTGTTCAATGTATAAAATTTGTTGAGTATTCATGTTGATCGGATCTCGATAGTTACTTGATCATATCAGATCACATTAACAATTTATTTTTAAAATCATAGTTACTGTTAACACAAATGTAGTCTGATCAAGTGGCTGTCGATATTCGATCAACATGATTTTTTACAAAACAAAATATTTGACAAGTTTTTCATATTAAACGGTTCATATTATCGATGTGGGTTCCATAATGGGCTCATAGAAGCCCAACAGAAAGGTCTAGTTGGATTTCTTAATTGGACATAAGTTGATCCCTTACACAAAGACCCCTACATTTTGGTTAGAATTTTTAGGATTCACTTTTCATAAAATTATTATTATTTTTTATTTTCTGTGTTTTTTTTTTTTGTGGGTTTTACCTTTTTTTTTAATATTTTAAATATATTTTTTAATTTTTAGATAATCTAAAATAAATACACTTAAAAAGTAGAATGTTTGTAAAAACAAATCTTTAGAAAATTTACTAAATATCAAAAATATAAGTAAAAAATATGAGAATTTAATATATCTTTCGTATTTTTGTGTATTTATTAATTTTTTACAAATATTTTAATTTTTAGATATATCTAAGTAAGGTACATCTAAAAATGTTAAAAAAATGCTTAAAATTAAAAAAATATTCACTAAAAACAAAAAAAAAACGAAAACGAAAAACAGAAAATTCAATTTCCAGAAAATTGAAACCAAACACACCGAGTATTATTTTGATTCCCTAAACTATAAAAATATAAAATGAACCCCTTAAACTATTGAAAAGTATCATTTTGCTCCCTAAATTATAAAATTATAAAATTATACAAATGAACTCCTTAAACTATAAAAAATATATAAATTGGATCCCCTAACAGAATGGGTCCAAATAAAACAAGCCAATCGTTTATTGGGTCTATTTTTACACTTTTATAGTTTAAGAGACAAAATAATATTTCTTAATAGTTTAAGGGATTCATTTGTACATTTTTATAATTTAAGACCAAAATAATACTTTCTAATAATTTAGAAAGTCTTCAGGTCAATAACCTTTACTTTTATCTCTTAAATTATCATCATGTTTTTGTTCAATGCTTAAATTATTAATTTTATCTATTAATCTCTATAGTTTTAAATTTGTGTATGTAATTCAATTAAAGACAATTATACGAATCAATAGTTGCTAAGCCTAATTTAGTTAAAAAAAATGTTAGTTCAGAATTTGAATAAGTTAAATCATATAATAAAACACTCATTTTTTTACTATTTTGTAGGAATGATGGCAAATCAGGTTGGGTCGAGTGGCATTCCATCCGCCATCCATCTAAAATTAGGTGAATTAGAAAAAATTAGTTCGCATCCGTCCATCGGTTTAGCAGATACAAATTGAACAAATCGTGTGAGTTGACGGATGGATGCGGTCGATTTGACAATTTGGACTTTACAAATTTTGAATAGTTTTTTAAAATTATAATTCATAACTGTTACAATCTCTAATAACTAGTAATCTGAAAAAATATATATTATTCGTCTAAAATAGGTCATAGCACCACCCATGCATATTTTTAAAGTATTATTTCCATTTTCACAAAAATATATATTTTATTATTTTTACTCTATGTTGTTACTTGTTAACAAATTTTTTTTTTTGAACTTCATCTACGGGCATGCAGGTGCAAGATAGTTGATCCGCCTTTCAAATTGTATCTATGAATTTTGAAATATTTTATCCGCATCCATCTACCGAAAGACATATCCGCCCGAAATCAATCGAGTTAGGTTGGTTTGGTCAGGTTGGGCGGATTGAACGGAACCATAATTATTTTGAATAAATAGAGACTTACGTGTAGATCTTAAATTATACGAATCAATAGTTGCTAAGCCTAATTTAGTTAAAAAAAAATGTTAGTTCAGAATTTGAATAAGTTAAATCATATAATAAAACACTCATTTTTTTACTATTTTGTAGGAATGATTGCAAATCAGGTTGGGTCGAGTGGCATTCCATCTGCCATCCATCCAAAATTAGGTGAATTAGAAAAAATTAGTTCGCATCCGTCCATCGGTTTAGCAGATACAAATTGAACAAATCGTGTGAGTTGACGGATGGATGCGGTCGATTTGACAATTTGGACTTTACAAATTTTGAATAGTTTTTTAAAATTATAATTCATAACTGTTACAATCTCTAATAACTAGTAATCTGAAAAAATATATATTATTCGTCTAAAATAGGTCATAGCACCACCCATGCATATTTTTAAAGTATTATTTCCATTTTCACAAAAATATATATTTTATTATTTTTACTCTATGTTGTTACTTGTTAACAAATTTTTTTTTTTGAACTTCATCTACGGGCATGCAGGTGCAAGATAGTTGATCCGCCTTTCAAATTGTATCTATGAATTTTGAAATATTTTATCCGCATCCATCTACCAAAAGACATATCCGCCCGAAATCAATCGAGTTAGGTTGGTTTGGTCAGGTTGGGCGGATTGAACGGAACCATAATTATTTTGAATAAATAGAGACTTACGTGTAGATCTTAATAAGTAGACTTATTGTCCAAGAAGTCTTATGATAATTAATGATATTTTTCATCAAACACTATTAAAAAAGTCACTAATTGTTAATTTTTGACGACAGTTTGAAAATTTTATCATAAAAAACGTCACTAATTATAAGTTTTGGCAACATTTAAAAAAAATGTCACAAAAAAGTCACTAATTTTTAATTTTTAGGATAGTTTCAAAATTTTGTCACAAAAAAAATCACTAATTGTAAATTTTAGCGATAATTTATAAAAATCATAACCAAAAAAAAAAGTCACTAATTATATGCCAAAAAAAAAAAGCCCCATAAAAATTTATTTTTAGCGATGATTTTACTAAAATTTATTTTTAATAGGATTTGATGAGAATTAAATTAATTATTATGATCTATTGGTAATTTACCCTTGAATAAACTACACCCTATGATTTAAGTTGTCCAAATTATAAAATTATTTGTTTGCTCATCAAATTAAGTTTCAACGGTTACAAATTTTCACAATTTGTCTATAATTGGCCGTATGAACAAAAATTCACTAATTTTTAATTTTTAGGATAGTTTCAAAATTTTGTCACAAAAAAAATCACTAATTGTAAGTTTTAGCGATAATTTATAAAAATCATAACCAAAAAAAAAAGTCACTAATTATATGCCAAAAAAAAAAAAAGCCATAAAAATTTATTTTTAGCGATGATTTTACTAAAATTTATTTTTAATAGGATTTGATGAGAATTAAATTAATTATTATGATCTATTGGTAATTTACCCTTGAATAAACTACACCCTATGATTTAAGTTGTCCAAATTATAAAATTATTTGTTTGCTCATCAAATTAAGTTTCAACGGTTACAAATTTTCACAATTTGTCTATAATTGGCCGTATGAACAAAAATCATAAATTTTAGGGGTAAAATAAAAAGGGTAAATTACATCACCTCCCTAAATTTGAAAAAAATACAATTAATCCCATACTTTTGATATAATAATACTAATCTCCCTTTTGTAAGATTAAATTGATGAAAAATTACCTAACTGTTATGTAAATTAAAATCTTAAACGACATTAATGTTATTATGTCAAAAATATAGAACTAATTATATATTTTTTTCAAAATTCAGGAAAGATGAGTATAATTTACCCAATAAAAAATAGTGATAATTTAAAAAACAAAAATGAAATTGTGGGGGCATAAATTTTGAATGAACAACACGTGGCCAAGGTGGCATCGAAGTGCCAGCCGAGGTGCCACGTGTTCTGATTATGACACCGAGAAAATCTCGACTAGGCTGCAGTTATCTGCGAAGATACCAGAATCCGAGATAAGCGGATAAGGGACAAGAGTCCTAGAATGAGAGATGACTTCAGTTTGGATAAATATAAGATTCTTAGAGAGTTTATCTCAATCTAACTGGGAGTCCAGGATTAGCATTGAGCCAGAGTTCATTAAAGCTAGGCTTCTTTGGATAAATATAAAATTTTTAGAGAGTTTATCCTAATCTAACTAGGAGTCCAGGATTAGCATTGAGCCAGAGTCCTTTAAAGCTAGGCTTCTATTGAGATTATGTCAGTGTTGGCTATAAAAGAAAGGCACCCTCGTGGGTCTAAGGTACGCTTTTTGTATTATGAATAGTGATTTAAGCATTTTTGCTATCTTTGAGCGATAACTGACTTAAACGTCGGAGTGTCCCCGGGTGGACGAACCACCGTCGGAATCTTATCTTTCTGTGACAGATTGTTCGAGCTTAATCTATTTTGTCGGTGCTCTCTAGTTGAGTACCTGTTTGGCAGTGTGGTCGGAAATTGACACACACAATTTGGCGCCGTCTGTGGGAAAAAAAATAGAATAGATGGCCAATGACGGACAGAAAGAGAAGGTTGGGGACGACATCCCTACTGGAAGTGGCAAACATGTTAACCTTGACGTCGAGGAAGATAATTGCAACGAGAAAACTCGGGATCAGAATTCCGGAGAGAAAGACATTGGCCAGGGG